GACTTTGTGACTATGGCCTAATAGATGCTTGTAAAGTCAAGGGCAGGACTGAAGCTATTACCCCAATAATTCAGACAAAATGAATCTGTTTTCATGGAAGCATCTAGACTTTTGGATCAAAATTGTTCTAATAATTGCTTAAATTCGTCTACTTTATTTGCATGTGTGTATGCATGTGCATGTGTGTGCATAGCTTGATAAAAGGGTATCAAGAGGAAAAGAGAAAACCAACTCCTTGAATTTGGCTGCCTGCATTTATCAAATGCTTCAAGTGAAAAAAATTCTTTTCCAATGACAATGAAGCGTTAAATGTATCATTTATTTGGAGTTTACCTTTATAGACAAATACACTGGAAAACTCTGTTGGGCAGAAAAACAGTGCTTATCATCAAGTGCTCAATTACATTTATTACAGGTTTCTGTACTTTTTGGCATTAGCGTCAAAGCATATTGTTGTGTTGGTTATTCTTTATAATCTAATTGGATTCTTTGCATTCAGTTACCCCCTTTGCTCTCTGACTAATACAATAGCTTGCTGATTGCAAAAAAAAAAATTGTACTACGGTGACTTTAAAAACCTGGAACCATGATTGTCATTGAAAGTTACAGATTTGCCCTGGTATTTGGAGGGCAGGGACCCATATGTGCTATTAGTTCAGAGTGGCAGGCAGCTGGGAGTGATTACATGTCCCCTGCAGGGTTAGGTGGCATTGGAAGGCTACCGGTGGGATAAACTTTGCTTTTGTTTCATAGGGTTGAGTCAGTGGTGGGAGTGAGTTAGGGTTGGGCAGGATAATAGTTTATTATATGTTATTAACTCAGCTATTCAAGAAGTTGCTGTAGCAATAAAAAAACTTATTCATTTCCTTCTGCAGCCCTCCCTACCGCCACTGTCTGCAAACTCTCTTCCCTTCATTGCAAGCATTTTTCTTCTAAGTTTATCTTTTCTTTCTCTGAAAGACAGGGGGTTTCTCTAACCCATTCCCTCTCCATTCTCCCTACTCCCCCTCTCCCTCCACAGAGTATTAGTGATTATTTAAAGACCCAAGAGCTAATTTGAAAGTGCAGCTACTTTGAATGAATCTACTTTGAGTAGGGGGGAAAAAAGATGCCATGTGGAGAAATGGTTGAATATTCTTAATTAGTCCATTATTTGATACGCACGATTTAACATGGTATGCTTAGCATTGTGCATTCCCCAAAAGGATGGAGCTTTTTTTTCCCCTCCCAAACTTTAGCTCCCTCTCATTCATTATATCCCCTCTTGTCACTTTCCATTAGCTGATCATGACATCTCTTGCTGGAAGGGTGAGCAAGCAGATTACTTCCAAACTGGTATAAATGACACTCAAAGGACTGGCCTGAAGGAGGCTCTGTAAGAGCAGCAAGACTTCCAACCCCTGGAGTCTGAGGATGTCATCTCAATAATATGACAGACCTTATTCCCACATACATTTCTACACTAACTTAACAGCTCATCAGAAGTCTAAAGAGCCGCTCAGCCTCCTGTCCTCACACTTGGTGTTGCAACAGATCACTTTCATGCAATGCTAAGTGTTTCAGTGATCTAGGGTTCTTTCCTACAAAGATTTTGGGATGTCCTAGGATGAGATATTCCTCACATCCCAAGGGGGTTGAGCAAAATTTTCACAACATTAAAAACAAAATCAATTTTAATTCACTTGAATTTTAAGAAGAGATTGTGTAGGGGGCAGATAGGTGGTGCAGTGGATAGAGCACTGGCCCTGGACTCAGGAGGACCTGAGTTCAAATCCAGCCTCAGACACATAACACTAACTAGCTGGGCAAGTCACTTAACCCCATTGCCTAGCCAAAAAAAAAAACAGATTGTGTTGTTTAGTCGTGTCTGACTCTCCGTGACCTCACTTAGGGTTTTCTTGGCAAGGATACTGGAGTGGTTTGCCATTTCCTTCTCCAGTTCATTTTACAGATGAGGAAACTGAGGCAAACTTGGTTAAGTGACTTGCCCAGGGTCACACAGCTAATAAGTGTCTGAAACCAGATTTGAACTTAGGTCCTCCTGACTCTAGGCCTAGCACTGTATCCACTGAACCACCTATAAGCCCACAATCAAAGATTATCCAAACATATAATAAACTTGCACAAAATACATATTTTGGTAGGTATCATTGCAGTAGAATGGAAGCCTCATAGCTTCACAAAATGACTGAGAAATTTGGGAGAATGTAGCCATTGAATGCGCTTTAGAAACGCAAGAGATCTGGATTCTTGTCTCTCCTCCTTAGGAATATTTGTGTGACCTTAGGCAAGTTAGTTAACCTCTCTGGGCCTTAGCCACCACATTTGTGAAATGATGATATCTTACTTGCCTAAAGGGCAGGGGTAGTGATGGTGGAGAACTAAATAATCTCTTAAAGTATCTTCCAGCTTAATGACCCATGATTTGATGATTTAAGAAAAATATACTGTTATCTGAAAGTCAGGGCTCCTAAACATAGAAGTCATCTAAGAACTTGAGATTAAAGTTATGACTAAGAAGATTAGCTCAGTCAATGAAACCCACTGACATCACTGCTGACTAGTACTAGCCCAGCTCACCTTTGAAGCCAAAACCGCAGGCCATATCCTGGATCCAGTCAAGCTGTTGGAAGCAACCTCTAGCCTTCAGGGTGGCTTGTTCTACCAGCTTGTGCTTACTCTATATTTTTCTTGACTGGGAGAAAGGTCTGATTGCCACAAAGCAATCCTTTCATATTCATTTGTTATTGACTTCCTCATCACATTTCTATTATTCTAAATACTGGATTTTAAAAATATCCTCGCTCTTTCAGACTCTCCAATTTACCTTCCAACCCCTTGCTTACCTAATCCCTGTCACCCCCAACCATTAGCACTTTAGGTTCAGACTTCATTCTTTTGCCACACCTCAGCGCTACTCCTTACCAATTCCTATTTTCCTCTGTTTTCCGTTGTACTCTTTGGAACCCATATACTCAACACACCCCCTTTTCAACCTCGACTTCTTCCCGTTATACTCCTTTCCAGCTCTGCCCTAAACGAAACCTGGAGTTCAGCCAGTGAAAGCTCATCCATTGGGATCCTCTCCAGTGTTGGGTCTTTCCTCTTTTACGACCTTTGACTCAAAGGACAAGAAAGAGGTATTAGCATAATCCTTGCCACCATCCTGCCCTCCCCCACTCCCACCTTACAAACCACTATCAGACCCTTGTTCTTCCACCATTACTCAATAATCTCTCCTGGGATGTTCACTCCATCAGTGGTATTATCTTCTCCAACTGTTTTTCTTTGCCATCTAGTGATCTTCAGATTACCCTTCTCCCTTGCTTAAAGAGCTAAGTCCTTGTATGACAATCTTCCTTCTCCTCTTCCCCTGCCCTTATCATTAGTGATGACAATATTTACACTGTTGGCTCTTCTAATACCCTGATTCCTTAGTTCCTCAGTTCCTTAATGTCCTCAACTCATGAAGCCTCCATCTCCATCCATTGTACTTCTTAGCCTCCAAGATGGAGAAATTCTTTTCTCTTTCCACAATCATATGTCCTCCTATTGCCTCACACCTCCTAAATCTACTCTTTACTGAATTATGACCTCTCTTCACTCTCTCCTTTTTCTCCTATAGGAGTCCATAGCTCCTGTTTTACCTTTATTTCTCTCTCTCTGTAGTCTTGAGCCTATGGTGAGCCATTTCTGTGATATATTCTCCCACATTCTTAAATATCTTACTCAATGACCTTTCATTATTCCTGCCTTGCTAACCCTGACTCTAGGTAAATCTCACTATTGAATAGCTCCAATTATATTTCTAAGTCATGCTAGAAGAATTCATTAAAAAATGCTGACGGGGTCAGCTACAAATTTTTTATGTGACTTCAACTGGACCTTTAATGTTAAGTGGAAATCCTTTTATTTATCTCCTTGTTATTCCCTGTCACATTCTCCAAAGTGAAATGTGTTCTAAACATTCTTTTGTCGCCCAAATTCCCCAACTTCGCTCTTACTTCTCAGCTCATACTTTATTAGGCCAACTGAAATGAAGTTCATCTCCCTTTCACCGCACATTAAACCAAACCCTCTTTGTCTGTTCTCCCAGATTCTGCTCTTTCCCTATGGCTTCAGAAGACAGAGTCCTTCCTTTATTCTACAGCTAGCTCTTCAGCCTGTGCCTTTGATTCCACCTCCTTGCTCCATTGACCACAGTTTCCATACAGAATCATAGACTATTAGAACTGAAAGTCAGGATCTGAGAGATGGAGCACCTCATTTTACATATAAGGAAACTGAAGCCCAGAGGAAATTTGTCCAAGGTCACCCATTTCTTTCTGTATTCATCTTCAATCTCCCTTCTCTAACTGATTGTACATTCCCTTCTGCCTACAAGCGCGATCAAGTCTGCCCTATCCTCAAAAAGCTTTCCACTCCTTTATGATCTTAGTCTATTGTGCTGTCTCTCTTTTCCCTTCCACAGTCAGATTTCTAGAAGGAATAATGTGTGCTAATTCTACTTCCCCATCATCCATTTCTTAACTCCTTGCAGTGTTGCTGTCATTTCCTTCTTGTCCTATGGGAAAGACTGCTGAGTCAAACCACCCCTACTATTCAAAGAACACTTTCCCCTCAGGGTACTCCCCCTAGATGTAGACAGCCCCAGACCCTGCACTCAAGAAATCTGGGAATATCAACACTCTCCCCACCCCCAGAGGTCACGCTTTTATCCCAGTCCCCCTGAAGCCATTGTTGAGGGAGTCCAACTTCTCCACCACCACCACCACCACCACCTACTGACCAATTAGCATTGACAGTCAGGTAAACCCAGAAGCCCAAGAAATCAGTGCCCCATTCTCTGAGGTCACAACCCCTCCTTCCAGCCCTTTTCTATGGTTATCAGTCAGCTGTAATCCTTGCTTCAAATGTCTATATCACAGAGACTAGAGATATTGTTACCATAACTTCAAGATTCTGATAGAACATTGGCAGAATGACAGTTGGTGTTGGCAGTTGGGAGTGACAGTTCAAAAGTACCTTGATGTGAAGCCCATCGATCTCCCTATGGAGTCAGGGATCCATAAGGTCTGAAGAATTTGTACTGTGTGGAGTCAGGAAGAAAGAGGGTGTTGGTGACTTTTTTCCCCTATGAGCAGTTACTTGATCAGTCATGGAGAGAGAAAAAATGTCAGCTAGAGAGGAACTGAAGAAGTAGAGATCTTTTCTGATGAAGCACTTTAGATTATGAAAAGTATGTAAGCGAAGAGGATGGGAGGGGGAGGGGAAAAGCATTTATTAAACACCTACTATATGTCAGGCACTGTGTTAAGTGCTTTACAAATAGTATGTTGTTTGAACCTTACAACAACCCTGTGAGCTAGGCTCTATTATTACACCCATTTTACAGTTGAAGAAACTGAGGCAGACAAATGTGAAGTGACTTGCTCAAGGTAACACAGCTATTAAGTGTCTGAAGTGAGATTTATTTTCAAGTTTTCCTGACTCCAGGCCAAGTGCTCTGGGAGAAATAAGAAATTTGCTATCTTTTTTTTTTTTCTTTTGGCTAGGCAATGCAGTTAAGTGACTTGCCCAGGGTCACACAGCTGGTAAGTGTTATGTGTCTGAGGTCAAATTTGAACTCAGGTCCTCCTAATTCCAGGGCTGGTGCTCTATCCACACTAAATGGAGTAATGCTGAGTTTGCAGACAAGAAGGGTAATCAATTACTGATTATTTTAAGGGTCATAGTCAAAATACAGTGTGTTTCAAAAGTCTTGGTGAAGTTTTAAGCTTTACTAATAGAGTGTAGTGAAAAGGCAGATGGTACTAGCTTTAAGAGCTTAAAATTGCAGTAAGACTTTTGGAACACCCTTTCCTAGAAATGGTTTTATTATACATTTATATTTATTATTGCTCTCATTGGCTATTAAACTACAGATTCGCCCACATATGTATTCATTTGACTGTTTATTTAAATGTGGTCTTATAAGAGTAATTACTAAGGAAGCATGTGGGCAGGAGTTCAAGATCATAGCCTCCCCCACAGTTTAGTTCGAGAGCCCAAAGAAGCAGCCCCCTTCCTGGGGGAGTCTAACCTACGAATGGTTGTGTGAGTTGAGAAGGCAGAGTGAGCCAAGGAGGAAAAACAACCTTTGTGGATATGCGACTTAGCAGCCACCTTGGCAACTTCGTCTGCCAGCCCTTGGCATTCACAGCTCCTACAGACCCAGAGAAGAAAGATCTCATCACCAAAGAAGGTCCTTGGTTTGGTGTCAGATGGTGCAATATCAAAAACATCTGCTTTAATCTCTGGAAATGATGATAAATAAGGTGTTCTAATCCTATAGCTTGCCACTATACTCTGAGAATTACTGGGCTTTTCTAGCCGACTTGTAGCTGAAACCTCATATATTGACATGTCTACTATTAGAATGTGAACTTGTTGAGAGAATGGCTTGTCTTAGTTTTTGACATGTGATCTCAGTGCATAGCAGATTATTTTGCATGTGTTAAGACTCAGGGGTGGAGAACCTGGGGCCTTGAGGCTACATATGGCCCTCTAGGTCCTCAAGTGTGGCCCTTTGAGTGGATGGACCTTGAGGGCCACATGTGGCCTCAAGGCCACAGGTTCCCCACTCCTGTAAGTGCTTAATCAGTCTTCCTTCCTTCCTTCCTTCTTCCTTCCTTCCTTCCTTCCTTCCTTCCTTCCTTACTTCCTTCCTTTATCCCTAAGTGTGGGCACGCCTCCTCTTCAAAGCTCTATAACTGCTAACTTTAACTTCACAAAGCATTTTCCTAGCTACAATCCTGTGAAGTATGAAATGTAAGTATAATTGTCCACATTTTATAGATGAGGAAACTAAATTTCAAGGAAAATACATGATTTTGTCCACCGACACAGAACTAATAGGTGTAGAAGCACTTTGCAAAGCTTAAAGTGCTAATAAATGTCATCTGTCTATCTATCTATCTACCTGCTTGTTTATTCATTCATTGTGTATGTATATAACGTATCTATGTATCTATGTGTATATATGTATGTGTGCATGCATGTATATATGTATCTATTTTCTTGTTTATAATAGCATCAATCTTTCAGCATTATTGTGAGGATAATATGAGGTAATCATAAAGCCTTTAGCACAGTGCCTGGTACATAGTTCGCTCTACATAAATGCTAGCTATTATTATTGTCCATTCATTTATTTACTTGTTGTTTATTTATTCATCTGTCTGTCTGTATGTTGACTTTCTACCTGTTTATTATTTAAACTCAAACTCAACGCCTGGTCCAGTATGCTCCAAGCCCCATGCTTTTTCCAATATGTCATATTACTTTCACTGTGTTTCTCCATTACCAATCATAGCCACTCTCATAGCTTCAATGATTACTTCTATAAGAAAATTTCTAAATCTTTATCTCTATCCTCAACCTACAATCCAGTCCAACATTTTCACCTGTCTGTTGGATCACTTCATCTGCATGTACAACTAATGCTTCAAATTCCCTGTGTACAAAATAGAGTCCATCATCTCTCTCCATTTCCCCCTCAACTTGCTCTTGCTCCTAATGAGATTACATCTGTTAATGACATGAAAACCTTCATTCTTCTCTTTATTGTCACCCACATCCAATCATGAATGAAGACCTATGAATTCTATCTCCATTATATCCTTACATGTCTCCCCTTCTAGATAGCTAAATGGAGCAGTGGATAGAATACCAGGCTTGGAATCAGGAAGACTTGAATTCAAATCCAGCTTCAGATACTTACTAGTATTATCACCAGCTATGGCCAAGTAACGTAATCTCTGTTTACCTCAGTTTTCTCAACTATAAAATGGGAATAATAGCAACTATCTCCCCGGATTGCTGTAAGGATCAAGTGGGACAGGGCACTTAATAAATGCCTGTTCCCTCCCTCTACTTACCATGACCTTAAGTTCATAGAATATAGACCAATCTGTATTATTATCTCATTCTTTTTTTTTTAAATCTCATTTTTTTTGATCTAGTCTGGCAGTGTGGAATAGTAGATAAAGAGCCTGCCCTAGAGTCAGGAAGGTCTGGGTTTCAATCTTGCATCTGACATATACTGGCTATATGACCCTGAGTGTAACCTCCCATTGCTCTAGATAACTCTAAAACATTTATTCCGAATCATTTATTTGGCCTTTACTATATGCTGGGCACTATGCTAAGCAGTTTACAAACATTTCATTTGATCCTCACAACAACCTCCAAGGGAGGTGCTATTATGATCCTCATTTTACAGTTGGGGAAACTGAGTTAGGGAAAGATCAAGTGACCTGCTGAGGGTCACACCAGCTCCTAAGTATCTGAGGCTGAATTTGACTCAAGGCCTACTGCTCTAGCCATTGAACCACCTACTTGGATTGGTGGAGTCGGTTTCATAATCCAGGAGATTCTTCTATCAGTATATCCCTACCTTCCAATTCAATGAAGTTCAGACGGAAATGATCCTTGGATGGATTGATATCCTGTTATTATTCTTTCATGGTTAATGTTCTGTGCTGCCATTATTAGACTGCTTTATAATGCAAGGTAAGCAAATACTTATGAATCTGCCTTCCAGCAACATATGATTCAAAACTCACCAAGGCAGGCTATCCATGCAAGAATTGGAATTTTCTGAGCTGTTAGGTATAGGTGTTAACCTGGGGCAGTTGCACTTAAAAATTGTTATCTATATTTCATTATAATTGGTTTCCTTTTTTAACCCCTGTATTCTGTTTTATACATTTAAAAACATTCTGAGAAGGGGCCCCTAGGCCTCACCAGGCTACTAATTAAGGAGTCCAGGACACACAAGAAAGGTTAAGGACTCCTGTAAGGTCTAGAGGGATGACCTATATGGCATTAGCATCCTACATTTTCATTCTTTGATGCAAAGAAGCAACTGAAGCAAGGCTGCGAGTATATGATCAAACGAGTATTATCAGCACTAACCAATATCTTCTGCCCCACGTCACCCCGTATTTATGGCACTGTGCTAGGTTCTGCTACATCAAAGTAGCTGAAGAGAAAAAGTATTTCTTTTTTAAATTCCAAGTAAAAAAAATAGCTTGTATATTGTTTTCCCTATTCTCTTTAAAAAAAAAATCCTTGGGCCTAATATCTATTCTTTGTTCTCAGAGATATTTACACCATTGTAAAGGAGCACTAATGTAGAAAGACTTTTTTTTTTGAGGGGGGAGGGTTTTTAGGAACAGAGCAATAGGGGGAGGGGAAAATTCCATTTTAATGAAGCTGGGAGTTCACATGGACCTTTAAGACTTAAAAAAAATGTAAATTTTAGATGCCAAAGTCTTGAAAGGGGTTTGACTGCCCATGGCTTTTGTGTGTATTTCCAGATGGCAGATGCCATTTTGTGTTTTGCATAAACTGACTAAATTTGCTTGCTCTTTGTACTTATTGCAGAGGAAACCATTCTCTGCTTTCAATAGGACAGAAGAGCTCCTTGGCACTGGAAACCCTTCTGGTCTGGTGAGAGAGAAATGTTTAAGGGAGTATTCTGAGTATAAGCTAGGAACATCCAAAACTTCCCACATTTGGGCTGTTGAGACAAGTTGGGCCAGGACTTTGAAATAATCCATAACCCCCATAATGCGAGGAAAGAAAAATTATCCATATCACCTATGTTAATTACCATATTGCCTATACTAATCACCATATTCCACATATTAATATTGAAGAAATTCTTGTTACTTGCCCATTTTATTAATATTTTTCAGATTATAACAAAACATGTAATGAATGGGTTTTACTTCAGCCATTTGATTTCCTGCTTTTTCCTGTTTTCCTGTTTCCTACCTACCTGTGTCTCAGCTTCCAAGTAGTTCTTCAGGGCTTTCATTCTAAGTAGCCTAGCCTGTTGTCAGGAGGTGATTTTGAGCTCCAAAACATTCCAGAAGATCTGCCTGGCTTTAAGATTTCAACACCATTTCCAGATATCCCAGAATACCCAAAGTCTTACAACCTCATAGGGAAAGAATAGATATTTTGTGGGGTAATGGCATTGTTAAGTGAAATTTGGAGAGATGTATCTTCTCTATGACATATAG